TGTTTTTTGTGGGGCTGGGTTTGGTTAAGTTTGTTTTGGGGATATTGGCGTGGACAAATGTGTTCTTTTGTTTTTGGGGTCTCACCCGCGGGTTGGGGTTAGAACGGGTATTGGGTGACTTTTCACACTTCTGATCACCAGAGGTGTTGATAAAGTTTTTAACCGGGCGGGTGTGCGTAGGTATGCATACATTTTGGTTTTTAGGAAATTATATCGCGTCCTTTTCGGCGGTTTAATACTGATATTTTGTTGTTGTTGTGTGCGTCGTGGGGGCTCGTGCGAAGAATGATCGCGGGAGAGCTGGCTAACTTAATTAATGTATGTGTATATCCTGATAAATGAATGCATTCTTTATGATACTTTCTACCGTATGAATCTTTTGGGAAGAACGCGACTTTGTAGGAGCAGGGAGCCGATAGAGGCCAGATAATATTTGTTTTTATTTTTTACAGACACAGCCAGGTAAGTTTAAGGAAATGACTTTGGTTCCCTACACACCCTCCGAGTGGTGTGATATTGGCGCCCGTCTCTGGGACATGGTGTGCCAATGTGGCGAGACCCAGGCACAGATGACGTTTATTAATGGTAACCAGATGTCGGATGAGACGTTGACCGTGGCCCCATCAGCGACAGGCTTATGCTTGTTCCATGGACCTGTATCTAAAGCTTGGCAGGATTCTACTCTTATTGGACATATTGCGAATCTACGGGCGCCTCAGATCCCTAATTTTGAGACGCAAGCGCTCCTGCCCGCTATGGGGGCAGCCCGGGAGTTGGGGCACCAACAAGGGCTCGTCACTGCTGAAAGGGAGCGCCTGAATTTTGATTACGCAAACGCCGTCGCGGACGTGCAGAATCGGAATGCTCAGCTTAACTCGCGGGTTCAGGAGGCGCATCACAACCTATCGGTAAGGGAATCCAATATCGCCGGGGCTGGCAACCAGGTCCTAGAACTACGACAGCAGTTGGAGGCCGATCGCGCCCAATTACGGGAGCGCGAATTCAACTTGGGAGTCCTCACTGCTCAACCCCAGGAACGGGAGGCACGCCTTAACGCACTACAACCCGCGCGGGATGCGGAGACGGCTGGGCGGGACGAGTCCCCCGCTACTCGACACGTTTTCAACGATGGCGTAACTACAATACCGCATCCAACGGATATCTTGATGGCAGGAGGCGTGCCTAGCAGCGCGGCCCGACGCAGTTCGGCGGCTTACAGACACCCTCACGGTAATGCTGCGAGACCACATTTCCACCCCTCCACGCCGTTGCCCTCCCGCATTTCTCCCCTGGACGCCCGATTACCCATGGAAGAGGACCGCGGTTTCCGCGCATTCGACGTCACCACGTGGCCCTCGCGCATATGGAATGAGGGCGCCTTCGGAGTCGTTATCGACCTCCGCTGCGCACACCAATGCCGGCAACAGGAGGACGAGCAGGTTAAACTTGCCCTTGACATTTTGGTCGAGTGGATCGGCGTACTGGAGGGCGGGCAGGATCCCACCGATCGAATCATGATTTTGACAGGTCCCTACTGAATACATTCCGGATGCAGCTCACAATCGCGTCCGATCCCGGCATCCGGCTTTCCAAACTGCGCGCCCGTCTACACACCGCTGTTCACCAGACGGACGCTTATGCGAGGGCAGTCCAGCTTTTCGTCGATCGGCGAGAAACCCAACGCACTGTGCGATGCCAACGTTGTCATATTTTTGGACACGAGGCATCTACATGCAATGTGCGTCCGAGAGGGAATTACTCACAATACAGGCGCCCATCAAAAAACGGCAGAGGGGCTGCCGCACGCCGCTCATGAATGCTGGCGACGGCAGCTCCATCCAACCCGCCACCTCCCACCAATCTTCACAGGCAGCGCACCGCACCGCCGATGCTCCATCCAATGTTTCAAGTTGCCCGACGCAATCGTCGGGAAGGGCGATGGAGATTATCCGTAAACGACGCTCGACTGTGGTACGACGAATTACCGACATCCCCGCTTTGGGCCAGCTATATGAGGAAAGCGAACGAGGCGGCTTGAGAGATGTGCGCGCCGTCAACGTGGGAGCAGAGAATGTCACCAGCGGGGCAATTCACAACCTTTTGCCGCACGCACGAACAGCCGATCAACGAGGAGAGTTGTGCGGTCTTTTTGGCGGCAATCGATGTAGCGCCATCGACCCGACCGCAGTACGCCAGGATGCTGCGGTCCATGTTGGAAATGAATCGAACCCCGCTGGACATGGTGATTCTGGGGCTACAAAAAATTGCGGCGCGATCGGAGACGAGGCAGGCGCGCCCCTTGAGAGAGGAAGAGATGAATCAAGTGATCCGCAGCCGGTCCGATTGGAAGGAACGTGTTGTCGTACGACTTGCGTGGATAACGGCGAGCTGTTGGTCCGAGATTGCGGCCTTGACTCCCAACAATCTTAAACTGAAGACGGACGGGGTCATAATTTTGGATTGTTCCGTGGCGCCGAAGACGGCGAGAGCGGATCTCCACCGCGCCTCGCGGTTTGTGAGGATACGAGGGCGGGACGCCTTCGACACTATAAAGTTATGCAGGACACTTCAAGAGAACGAAAAGCTCACGAATATTACTAATGCCAAAGTCGAACGAGCTTTGGCTCATTGGAATGCCACGGCGCATTCCATAAAACGCGGTGCGTTGAGGCACGCTGCTCAAATCGTGGGGACACACAATTTGAATCCACACGTGATCTCGCAGTTGGCGAAGCACGCCGACCCGTTCGAACTTCCGAAGAATACTGTTCGATATTTGGGGAGTTACATCACACTGCTGACCCAGGTGTCGTCGCTGGTCGCATTGATGTGAAGGGGGAAACGGCGGAAGGGCAGGAACCCTGGCTAAGAGCAGAGGAACGTTTTTTCCATGATTTTAATCACAATCATGCCGCTACAATAACGAGACGCGCGACAAGGACGCGTCTGGCCACTCCACACGACGAACGAACCATCCCGCTACAGCGAGTCAACGTGCCCGTATCGAATCTAGAGTGGATTAAAAGTCGGTTGAACCCGGCTACCTTGGAGAGGCTCATGCAAGTTTGGGGACTCGTCGGGCGGTCCCCTTTCCCTCCGTCTTCCTCCGGTAAAGCGCGCGAAGGCTCACGGAGGATTCCAACCGCTGACGCGAGGTTGTTACGAAAAGCAGGAATAATCGAGGACGCTTCGTCTACAATAACAGGCGGATGGATAATACCCTTTCTCAGTTGTGGAGGAGAAAACCACCGGTTCACGACGACGACGGATCGCGTGGCCACGCGAAAAGAACAGAGACGACCCTTACGAGGCGAATGTTCCTCTTTTACACACTTCCCATTATTTGCCGCCTGTGATGGCTGAGACCGCTTCCTGCCTGGATGTGCAGGCATCCCTTTTTTCAAGTCTCTTTACCGCGGGAGACTCGGCATCTCTTTCGATGCCGCGTGGAGGACGGCACGCTGGTGGAGCTCACACGGCTCCCAATGGGATACAAGGCCGGCCCAGAAATTCTCCAGATTATTATTACTTGAGCAATTGCGGGGTGACGACGGTGGCTCACCGCCTCTGGGCCGCACCTCCGTCGGTGCGTGTCGACGTTTGGATCGATGATATACGCATTGCAGGGTCGAAAAGCGATGCGATATTGTGGGAGGCCCAGGTGCTTCGTAATGCAGACAGTTGTCACGCATCCTTGGGGGAGGACCGCGAATCGGGCGCTACGCAGTACACCTTCCTGGGGGTGCAGTTTGATCACACTCACCGGGCGGTGTCCCTGAGTGACGAGTTTGCCCGGTCTGTACGCGCCATGCCGGCGCTCAATTCTTTAACCATCGCGGAAATGGAGGTTGTGGCGTCACGCCTTTTTGTATGCGGCGGCCACTTTTGGCACGCGTTTATGCGAATACTACTTTTCATCAAGGCAGTGCGACGACGATTGTCCGCACTTAACCGGGGAATTGTGCTGGAGACATCCCCGGTGAACCTTCTGCCGTCAGCGGTTGTCTTGGGCGAGAGATTGCGACACAGCATCGAGAATATAACAGTAAGCGAATCATCAAGCCCACGAAAAGGCATCGGCCGCCATCATCACGGACGCATCGCCCCATGGATGGAGAGCCGTTTTTATTCCAGACTCCGGCGACGTTAAAATTGCCGGGGGAAATGGGGGAAGAAACCTTTTCTCATCATGCAGGCCGAGGCACGAGCGGTCCGCTTGGCCTTATCGGCCTTTCCCGCCATCTTGCCATCCATCATCGACGTTTGGGTGGACAACACTTCGCTGCAAGGAGCGGCGAATAAAGGCAGCTCAAAATCACACGTGTTGACGTGGGAGCTGCAACGGATATGTGAGTTTTTGGACTCTCGCGGAATACAGGCAACTTTTGCCTACGTGCGGTCTGCAGAAAACCCCGCAGACGGCATATCACGCGGTCGTGTTTTTATACTTTAGGAATTGGCGAAGGGGAGCGGCGGGGTCTTGTGGTAGGAGGACCCCAAAGTGTGCCGCTTCGTAGGTAATAATATTTCAAACCTAAGGAAGGACAAAAGACCATGCTAACGGTCCACAGAATTCTATATATCGAATGAAAATAAAACATTGAAGCAATTAACTAAAGAACCTTTTTCCCTAACTTGTTTGGTTTCCATAGGTAATTTCAGGATCCGGCCAGCTGCCCGGAAGATTATTTGGATTATTATTATTGTTATTATTATTAGTATTGTTATTATTTGTTTTCTGGTGGGGGCGAGGCGTATCTTATTGGTTATTAATTATATTGTGCGATTTTTTGCCCTTTTCTTGGCTTGTATTTTTATTGATGACAAATTGGGGGCATTTTAACTACATTTTGTTTCTTATTGGTTTTTTTTTCTTTTTATTTCTGTCGCTCTTTTTTTCTTTATTCTTTGATTACAGTGAAAGAAAGGAAAAACGATAACTCACCACAAGGAAGAAACACAGAAATTAAACAACTGAAAACTTTAAAAGAAAAAAGTAAATGGGGCGTGTGCCTGCTTCTGACGATTTTCGTCGGGATGTTGTGAAGGCCTATTCAGGGCCTTTATTTGCCACCACCTTTGATTTTGGGGTTCTGTGGAATAAGGTAGACAGCGTTTGCAATAAGATTCTTGGTTGGACGGACTCGCCGGAGTTTAGGGGGCAGACAGTCATTCAACAAGTGGTTCGTGCTTATACAATTGTTTATAGGTTGGTTTCGGCTCCCTGTTTAGATTGTCCCAAGTTAGTTCGTGGCACGAATGCTCAGCAGGACACCATTGGTGGAGGAAGCGAGGGGACACAGGCACTTGTCGTGTATTATTTATTAAGGGAAACAATACGCAAAAGGTTATCTTCCGTGGTTACCCATCGACTCAAAATGTCTCTTACTGCTGAGCCTCCAACCCTGTTGCAAGTGTACTTGACTGAATGGAGAACCTTTATTATCGCGGTGAATCATCTAAAAGTGGTATTTTCCTATCTTCACAGTCCCTGGCAAAAACACGAATTGCCTTCAGAACAACCCCTTTTGCCAACAGAAGTTGTTGCATTGGTTCAATGGAGTGATATAATAATGTCTCCGGAAATATGTGAGGGTTTGGCCGAGCAGATATTCAATCTAATTTCACGTGACAGGCTTCATCGATTAGACGAAGGATCTACTAGTCTTGTACGAGATATTTCACATTCTCTGGCAATGTTGAATGATCCACGGCACACAGCATATTCTTCTTTAATTGAGGAATCTTATCTTGTGCACCTTCAACGCTTTTACAAGGAAAACATCAATGTTTTAAAGGCAGGTGGCATTTTGTCATATATAGAACGATCCCTTATTATATTTGAAGATGAAATGGAACGTGTAAATCGAATTTTAAACAAATGCACAATGCTCCCAATGTTACAACGCTTGTCGGATGTTCTTATTGATTCTGAAATCCCGTACATAAAGTCTTATTTACCTACATGGATACTCAATGACCGTGGTTATTTTTTGAACAAGATGTATCAATTACTGTCAAAAAATTCTACAGGTTTATTGGTGCTTAAAGAAATATTTGAGAAATGTGTTTTTGAAAAAGGAGTGGAGGATATCAGTCGAATTTGCGAGGAAAGCATTAGAGCTAATGAAAATGTCTACAAGGCTGTTCTTGAGGGGATCATATCAGTGCATACCTATTTTTTAAGAGTAAGTGAATCGTTTGAGGGTAATGAAGTTCTTGAAAAGGCGATGCTTTCTGGACTTGAGAAAATTTTGACAACTCTTACTTACGTGAAGAGTTATCATATTTTGGGGGAAGAATTGGCTCGTTTTGCACACACGAAATTAAAATCTAACGAATCGAAGGAGCAATGCGAAGGTATTTTGAGGGAAATAGTGACCGTGTTTCAGCTTTTGCCGTCAAAGAGTTCTTTTCTGGAATCATATCCGAAATTTTTGTCCGTTAGGCTTTTGTTTGAACCTTATTCTGAGGAACAAGAACGTTTTGCTATTCGGACAATATCACAAGCGACTGAATGTACCTCTGATTTTGTATACCGATGCGAGGTGATGTTGATGGATGTCACAGAAAATAGTGTCTCACTACGTGATATGTTTGACACAAAATATGGGAATAGCCATAATAAATCTTCGGAATGGTTGTTTCAACCTAGTGTTCTCACAAGCTATTCATGGCCAGATGCTTCTTGTGACGTGAATCTTCCAACGCCAAGCATTTTATTACCCAAGATGCGTGAGTTTCAGTTGTTTTATTCGCAAGTTCGTCCAAAGCGTCATATCTCTTTTGTTTCACGATGTTCCCGTGGCGTGGTAAGAATGAATTTGCCTAGGGATTCTCGTGTACCGAGTATAGATTTGTGTGTGGGACAGTCACAACTATTACTTGCTGAATGCTTTAATAATCGAACAGATTGGTCAATTGGAAACTTATTACAGACAATGGAGTTAACGAACAATGAAATTTTCTTACGTTCTTTGAATGCTTTTGCGGGTTGCGGCATCCTCGAGGTTTATGATGAGGGTGGACCAGTTGATCTTCCTCTGCGATCGGTAATGGCAGGAAAATATGTTCGTCTTGGTTCAAATCCAGATACAAGAAAAAGGAAGTTGAATCTTTTTCCTTGTGATTGGGAAGGAGGTTTTCAGATTGCGACAGTATCTTCTAATGATTTTGTTAGTGATCCTGTAGATGCTTCTCACCACATGGTAGATCAGTTGAAAGCTCCCGCGGTTCAGGCGACACTCGTTCGTGTGTTTAAGGCCAGTGGTACTCTTTCTTTTTATGAGCTTATGGAGAAGGTCAAGGATGAGTCTCTTCAAAAATTTATGCCTTCCGTTCAACAGGTAAAGGTTGCGTTAGAGTTCCTTATAAGCCGTGGTTTCGTAATCAGAGATAATTCCAACGGGGGAACCTTTTCATACATTTGCTGACTCTTTTTTTTTGTTGAGAGTTTTTGCGTTGTTTGAGTGACTTTATTTGTGCTTTTTTTTCCCCTCGCCATAACCAGTTTTTGTGTTTACTTTCACTCGGATAAATCTTGAGCCCGTTTTCATGGAGGGAAAATAGAGGGAATAAAAATTAAGGAATCAGCTGTGAACTTAGTTTTTAAAAAGGAAAGAAAAAGTGAGAACAAGGTTTATATGAAAGCGGGTTTGGATAGTTGGAGTACTGGTGGAAACGCACAACACACTGTAGAGCGAATTGGGGCAAGGTATTTATTTGGCTCTTTTTTTTTTTTTCTACACGTCCTCTTCCCATTGTGTTAAATGTGGTGTCGGCAGTGGCTTCTACTGTAAATGGAAGGGAATACGAAGTAAGAAGGAAAAGGAAAGAAATAAGGACTTGGGTGGGGATTTTACCTATCCGAGTGACGAAGTATGAGAGGTGGAAAGCTGATGGTATTGGGCAGGTGCGATATTTATATCGCATACAATTGAATTAAAAAGCCTTTTTGATTCGTTGAAATTACTTTTTTTTTTTTTTTTGCAGTGCGGGAATTCTTTTTTACATCGTTGCTTTGTTTTTTTTCCATTGAAAAATGTGTAAACAAAAGAATTCTTTTTATTCCATTTCCCCCACCCCCTTTTTTTTATTTTTGTTTATGACGGGCAAGATAAATCAAGCCAATAGTATTCTTGGCATTTTAAAAGTCAATCATGACGCAGCTCTCCTCCGCCACGGTTAAGCTCGTAGAGATGCCAAAAGACATGGAGAACTATGCAATTCACTGCGCACAGGATGGATTCTCAAAGCTTTACACCGAAAAAGATGTTGCATCATACATCAAAAATGAGTTTGATAAGAAGTACGGCCCCACATGGAATTGTTTTGTTGGACGCAATTTTGGCAGCTATGTTACCCACGAGACGAATCACTACATTTACTTTTACATGGGGCAAATGGGAGTGCTCTTGTTCAAGTCTTCGTAGAAAATTAGATTTTTTCTTCTGCAAAATCTTCTCTTTCTCCCTGGGATATTTATTTTTGATGATTGTGTTGGTCCTGCTGATGATGATGATGATGATACCATATCTGGGGAATTGGGAGCATGAGGACTGTACTTGTGGTGGGGTATATACACCTTTTTATTTTTGACCCATTTTTTTGTTCTTCTTCGTTTCCATTCCCTAGAGTTGTCGTGCATGAATCTATTGAGAGAGGAAGGATATTTTGGCGGAAATGTATATGTAAGCCAGGCCATTGTCAAAAGTGTTTCCTTTACCCCATTGAGAATAACCTCTTTTTTTCCTTCCTTTTTGCCCTATGGATTGAAATTCTTTCTAATTCTCTGTGCTCAATGTTTCTTTTTCTTTTTTTTTTAAATATATGATAGGGCGCGATGATAAAATGAAATGGCAAATTTTTAATTCAAACGGAATGGTCATGGCATTCAAACAGAATTGTAGTTGGATATCCCCGAGGAAAGCTATTAGAGGGAATGAATTCATCAAACAATTCAGGAGATACGGACCCAGCTTTCTTTTTTTCCCCTTTACGGGCTGGTGAAGAGGAAAAGCAAAAAAAGCGAAAGGTCAATCCAAACCTTGGATACCATAGCTCAGAGGCTTTCTGAGAATGCGTTTTCCCTACATCCCCTGCTGTTCTGCAGTTTACTGCACAAAAAGAAACAAAAAAAATATTGTATTTACATTATAATTTTTTTTATCTTATCTTGTTTGGCAACGCTATGGGTGCAAGACGATGTAAGATGAATAATGGGGATGGCTTTGGGAGATCTGACTTTTATTGTCCATCTGTTTTTGTTGCTAGAATGAAGGTTGAATTGGGGAGATAGCTTTTGGAGATGAATGAGCTTTACCGGGCCGTACAGAAGGCTACAATAGAGTGGTTTCACATAAATGAAAAACGGGATTTGCCTTGGCGACAGTCTTTTTCCCCCACCGATGTATTGGGAACAACCATAGGAGCTAATGATTGCATGCGCAATCCTTACCATGTCTGGGTTTGCGAAGTTATGTCGCAGCAGACGCAAATGGGCACAGTTATTTCTTACTTTCAAAGGTGGGTATCAATTTTTCCCACGGTGGCTGTTTTAGCCGAGGCCTCTGAGGAGTCTGTAAAGACAGCTTGGTCTGGGCTGGGTTATTATCGTCGCGCTTTGTATTGAAAAAGGGTGCCGAATATGTTAG